CAGAGGTTAATGAGGGCTTCTACGATGAACAGCAACCGAGCTGTGGCTTGGTGACTCTTCTAAATCTGCACCACCTAGAGGCGATCGATGGCGACGACGTGAAGACAATCCTGGACGAGACAGAAAGTGACCTCTTGGCTACGGATTTGGGCATGAAGAATTCGAACAGGATGAATGAAAATAGTGCAATATATGCAGAGTCGGAGGTGAGCATCGATTTTCTCCCCAATATTTCCTGTGCATTTTTACACTTAATGTTATGACCCCTTTGCTGTCTAGGAGCAGATTTCACCTTTTATTGTGTTTTGGTTTGCGTGGCCACATAATTCGATGACTGTCAGATAAGGTTCATTGCCGAACAAAGTAGGATGCGTAAGGCGATATTAAGAAAGAAAGCTAAAAGAGTTGCATGTTTATATCAAAATAAGGCGGCAAGATAACATAAATCAACCAAACAAGATATTTTTCGCATTTAAGTATTGTTTCGAGACTACCAGTAAATCAGTAATATGAAATGCATTCACCTTACACGAAATTAGGTGAATACATCCTATGTTTGACTCCATTCATATATATTCTTACACTAATTCAATTAATAAACTCTATTTCTTTCGCTTATAAATTCTTCACGATAATTTATTTTCACTAACGTCTTTTCTTGACTATCTTATTTTGTCAAGGTATTCGAACTTTAGAATATTCTCGGTTAGTGGGGTATTTGGATTTATAGGCTTAAATTTTTGATAAATTTGCCTTCTTAAAATATCCACTTATCCGCTATCTTGAATATTTTTAAATATAGAGTCATTTGGCAATTACTTTGTAATTCATTGATTATCTATGAATAAGGGTTAGCTCATCGAGTTTTGTGATTTTCAAACTAATCACAACTACGTACATCGTATATCGTTAATAAACCAATTTTTCTAAAATAATTACATCACATATTCTTCTTATTTATCTTTGTTTTCCTACCGCTTATTTACTTTTCCATATTACCATACACATTTATTTTTCCTAAACTCTGATCGAAGGTATATCATTCTGGCCTCTATCTTCCCCTATAACACCCTATTTTCAAATCGCTGTCTGCATGCTCTCCCCTGCTTTATTCGTGGATCTAACAAGAGTTATTTGAATAAATGGCTGAAATTTTGCACAATATAAGTTTTTTGACAGTTCCTTTGTTCGATATCCCTATATTTTTTCCGGCTTTCACAAAATTCATTTATTGTCGCATTTTAATCGCTTTATTCTCCGCTAAGCTCTATCTCACTTTTATTAAACTTTATCATTGCCGATTTAACTTGTCTTTCATTACGCAAGCCTGTGGTCTATTTGCTTCATTTAATGGCTCCTCACTCTTTCTTTTTCAATCCGAAAATCCCTATCCATTACTTTTATTGGCCTTTTTTCGTGATAGGCTCCTTCAGGCCAACTTGCTACGGCCAAGTTGGCCAGCCTTTTAGACTTACCTGGATTCTTATCTGATTCGGTTTCAGAGAAGCCCTCCATCATACCGGATATCATTCTTGATCTGCAGACGGTGCCTGAAAGTAACAATAATTTGCAGACTGTTGCCTGGCCAAAGTGCTTCGGCTCTCAGCTGTCCCTACCGTTTTATGGTCATGGCACTGTAACAACTATTGAATCTCCTGGATCCTTAACGGTCTCAGAGGTTGCTTCGCATTCCTCTCTTTCGCCAAATATTTCACTTTCCGGCGTTATTTCTGGGCATAAAATGAGCCCTGTTCGTCTTCGTCATGGAATCACCACTCCCGACATGCCATATTGCATGATCACAAATCAGAATCCGGTTGGACTTAGGCGAATTTTCTCGCTTACTGACCTTTACACCTCGTCTCATCGTAATGGTGGTATAGCAAAGGTAGCGACAGATTCTAAAGACTCTAATGTTAAAGAGAAGCTTTCTACAGACTGTCGATCTCCGCAGCTAGATTCTGATGCTACATTGCAGATGAAAGACGGAGTTTGCTTATCTCAGTTTCTTGTAGTATCTTCATTTAATACGCCAGCTGGCGATAAACTAAAATCATTGCAGGGTTCTTCAATGGATTTGGTTAGTAAAACTGGACGCAAGTGTAGATCAAGAACTGATAGCAGTAATATTGCTGTGGCGGATGGTGAGCTGTTTGCAGCCAATTGTATCCTTAGTTTGGGACAAAAGAGTAATTCGGTGAGCTCACGCCGTCTTTCTCATCCTACATTTAGACTCATCTATTCCGATTGATTATTTTACCTCTTCTATTTGCTCATGTGTGTTCACTTGTGTAGCCTTTGTGCACATCTAGGTTACTTATTTCATCGCTTCCCTTTTTCCACTTAACTTACTTCGCATTTCGTTGATCGGCCTGTCCGATCGTATTCTTTCTCCTCTTGACTGCTCAAATTGGATAGGTTTTTCATACTTCCTAATGGCCACAAAAATCCGGTTATGTGAATACCTAACTTGTACTTGAGCGGCCATGTTATGAGATTACGGCTAGTATACGCAAATGCACTAGTGATACACAGCCAAAAAATTAGTTCTTAATATAAACTAACAGAATTTCAAGATGTTGTGGCCTCTGGTATGGTCGCAGTCTCCTTTCGACTTATAGGAGTGGGTTGACCTCATTGTCGCAACTTGGTCTTGTTGTCAGGGTGACTTAGAATAACGCACCTAGTCCGAAGTCGCCTGCCATATTAGTTGTCATGATTACCAGCATGATATACAGTAAACTCCTAAACAGTCGAATTTATCTACCCTTTCATGTTGCGTCGGTAGACTTGTGAAAAGTGTTGATTTCTCTTTCATGGCCACCTAAATATTCCATTTAATCAATATTAATCGTAGTTTTTGAGTTAGTTCGCAGGAGGGTAGGTATATCCACTTTTGTGAATCCTTCATCGTCCTTAGTGTTCCTTCATAGTACCCGTTCTGCCATCGGCTTTTCACGGCCCGTATTTTTTTACTGACGCAACATGAAAGGGTAGATAAATTGGATTGTTCAGGGGCTTACTGTATATCATACGGCGCCTGCGAAGTGAAAAAAATTGGCGAAACAGGGAGAAAAATTAGCACACGAATCAAGAAACATCAGAGGCTCTGCAGGAAAATGGATATCGGAAGATCAGAACTAGCGGAACACATCGCACATACTTGACACGAGATCAATTGGAAAGCAACAGAGAGGAAAGCTCCATACGGTGACAACACAAGAAGGTGCAAGATTAGGAAGGCCATTGACATCCTTGGGGAGAAAAATCTAATGAACAGGAGATTTGATGAAGGTAGAGTTAGCGATAACTTTGCTTACTGCCTAAGCAAATTCGAGAACAACAAGAATAGAGCAAGACCAGCACAAAGGAGACGCCTGGATCAAGAATCTACCGCTAACCGAAGAAAAGGGGATCGCGGTGTATAGAGGGGGGGCAGGAAGTTTCTGCAATAAAAGGAAGACGTTGTCAGTGTGAGTTCCGTTTCGAATAAACCAGTACAACTTTGGGGGGCTGACAGTCAGGGAGCCGGGCAGACGGATAAACAAACCATCACGGAAATTCAGTGTTATGGCAAAAATGTACTAGAAATCGACTTGAGATGCCGCATGCGACCAGAGATAGATGTCCACAGTTTGCTCAGATAACATGGGTTTAATCAAGGAGACGACCCATGAAGGGAAAGCCTGATATCTGCAAACATGTGAATCAGAGTTTAGGCGCTCTGTTCAGTGAAGCGGTAATGTACTTGCTTTTAGGGTCTTGAGAAATAACACCTGGAGTGAAATACACACTGGGTCTGGAACCAAGTGAAATCGGTCAACCAGAACGATAAGGAAGGGATCTACGAGACAATGAGGAGATACAGATTGGAGGCCTGAGTCGGATCAGCCGATCGAAAGAGAGGGTATCTGGGTGAATAGCAAGTGTGATGAGACCACACTAGATTTGCCACAAAAGGGCACGGATTTTGACGAGTGAAATGTAAACAAGTGAGAACTTGTGATAAGGCGGCAGTGGGATAAGAGGGTAAAGAGTATATAGATAGGTCAGGACAGAAAGACGTGTGATAGTGAAATCGTTTTTCGGCAAAACGTTTATCGAGAGATTGACTTCACTTGTCTCTTTGACGAGTTCGTAGCTTGTTGCGGAGAATGGCAAAACTCACTGATGATGCCGGTAAACGTCTGATAATGTACCAAGTCCACTGTCTGATGCTGGGAATTATAACAACTATGGCAGACTTCGGACTAGGTGCGTTCTACTTAGTCGCTCTGACAACAAAACCAAGTTGCGACAACGAGGTCAACCAACTTCTAACTGAATTTCCTTTATTAATCCCATTTGTTTTGAAGTGCCCTGTAGACCCATTTTGTAAGACCCCGTATCTTCAAGATTTTTTATATCTTTCTTAGTCCCACTCATTTTCTGACTGGATATGTCTTTCTCAGTTAGACATTGACATTTCCCAATTAACTACTTATCTCTAAGCCATATTTATCTGGTTAGTCTTGATTTCTTCAATATTATCGCTTCATGTTCTTCTTTTAAGCGTTTATGCTGATAATTATAATGAAAATGATCATGAATTTAGCCATTATTGTACTCAGATTCAAGGGGTGAGCATAATGTGATCAAAGTTATCTACAAAATCCTATTTGAAACGATCAATTTGATATCTTGGGCTCTTTTGTATATCTTTTGTCTCTTATCTTCTATTTCGAACTTTTGCTGCGATTTTAATTTGGTCTAGGCTGGGCAAATTTTCTATTTTCTTCTGAATGAAAATTATTTTAATAATAATATATAAGGAAGACTGCGACCACACAAAAGGCCACACCATCTTGGTCTTCATATCTTCG